TGTTGCTTATATTGCGGCTTAGGTAGTTACAGAAACAAAAGTGAAAATCCTGCCGATTGTTCGTGGCAACATTCAAAGAATGTACAAAAGCCTCATAAGAAAGATGCTCCTCGGCTAAACAGAATGTTGAAATGTGCTAACGGACTTCGAATTACACTTACTGTAGGGTGGACAATGGGGAAAAGAAGAACGCGTGGCTCATCCTTTCAAGGTTGGAATGCCATTCGATGTGAAGATCAGGTGCGTTTATACAAACTTCTTAGCAGATTACCTGGCAGTCTCTCTACTCCTACTTTGAGTATCACAAATCACCTGAACACCTACACCCAATCTCCATCCTTTGTAATGATTCCAGGTCGAACAGAGTTTGCGAACAAAAATAAACAATTTGCCTCTTCGAGGTGTTAGTTAGATGACATGATTGCTTAACTTTTCGACGAGGTCACCATCTTCTTGGCCCTTCCCGGAAGGACTGCAACACCTTGTTCTTGCTTCGCTTTCCCTTCAGGCTTTTCATTCTGAGAAAAACATCTCAGAGACCGATTGTTATGGGACGGTCGAAGGCAAAAACGGAACATCAAGTGCAATCCCTACAAATCTTAGGTTTATCCTTAGAGTCCACTTCACATTGTAATCTGATTTTTAGTGGGCGTGATTAAAGTTTACTCCTCCATGCAATTGCAATACATCAAATTGTTTCAGGGTGTTGAAAGATTTTATGGAGGTGTACATTCCCAACCAGAGCTCACATCAGTTCAATCATCGTCTGCCATTTACTCAAGTCAATTTCATTGAATGTAGTGGAGAAGCAACATTCAACGGTTTTCACTATGCTACCGAATGGTGGGGAGATTTTACTTTTTGTGCACGCCTACATGGAAGTAGGATGTGTTAACGAGAAATCATTCCTGCTGAACGCTCGAACCCTTCTGAAGCATACAACATTAACAGGCAGACAAACAACTCTAAAAACTATTGATTAAACTGGGTGAGGGCTCTTTTACGCGAATAGCTGCTTTCGTAGTCCGCGATTTGGCCGCGAGTGAGCGAGCGACCGGAGGCGGCGCTTGCCCCTTGTTTACAACTGAATCTTGGTCGATTCCACCAGGCGGTAGTCCCCCGGGCGCCCGCTCGCACGCGGGCTAAATCGCGGACTATGAAAGCAGGGATTGCGTGTCGCGATCGCCGTGCCCTATATCGCGAAGTCGCACGGTGATCGGATGCGGCGAGCGCGACACGCCGTTTGCGTTGAACGTTCTCCACCCTTCGCCACCTGCCCACAGTGGCCTCCTTCTACATTCCTTCAGCGTGATCAGACATCTTTCGCTTGTCTATCCCATTTCTTCAACTTTAAACATGTGTAAGTCATTTTTATACATTCGCTAGTGTACGGGCCACCAGATGAACTTAACTTTTTCGCAGCATCGGGAGCGAACTCGAAATATTATACCAGTCGGATCGCCCGCCTAACTGCATGCTCTCCTCCTTCTTGTGTTGAAGTTGGCCCTCCGCCAGCACTCTCAAATTTTGAAACCTCTAGTTCGAAAAAGCAGGAGCTGTTGATTTTCAGCAAAACACACATACACACGGCCACACTTCGTGCGTTGGGTTCATTCCCTGTTATTCCAACTTGACTGCGTTTTGTCATTGTTGTTTTTCGTCTCACGTATGGTCCGCCCCTTACATCCCCTGCGCCTCCATGGGCTTGGTCAAATTCAGCTGCTTTTTCGTACCTATCATCGGTGCCCTGGAGGCAAAGTTCACGATAAAGATGGTCCTTCAGTTCTGCACTTATGGATACCTAGTGACCGCAAAAGTAATAGGAAGGACCCTTTCGCGCCCAAAATCTCGACTGTCAGGGCATTGGGAGCCAAGTTCCCAGCTCGTGCGAGCTTTCCGCCCCTCGATCGATGTCACGTCAGACGAGTGTGGGGCAATACAGATTGCAAGTGTTCGCGTCAGGACCCATACACAATCGGCCGATCGCCGAGTAATGAGACGATGTTTTCCTCCTAGTCTTTTGTTCCCTATTATTCTTTCGCTATTGATCCCTAGTTTAATTTGCTACCTCGAGAGGCTGGAAAATGGGCTGCTTTGGAGTTTCT